ACCCAGGGTCTGGATTGTCCTTATTTATCCAGTTATTTAGACTGGCACTTTTTTTATGATAGTTCATTAACTGTTAGCCGTAAAAATGCTATCTGCATCTTTGAGCAGAATGCTGAGTTACCCATACGACGGCATTATGAAAGCATCCAGTTTCCTTTTTATGGAGGGTTGGCAGATTCAAATCTGGTGTTTCGGACTATATCTACTGTTGGCAACTATGACTATGTCTGGAATTTTATTTTCTACCAAAATGGAGCTGTTGGTGTTCGGGTCCATGCCAGTGGGTACATTCAAAATTCATTTTACTTTGGTGATGCTGAAGACTTTGGCAATAGAGTCCAAGAATGGGCCTTGGGAACAATTCATACCCATAATATTCATTTCAAGGTGGATTTGGATATTGGTGGTAAGTAGGAAAAATGTTACTAACTTTCAAGGAAACTATAGGTTTTTTGCCTCAGTTTTCTTTCTTCCAATTATTTTAATGATTGTAAATACTACAACAAAGAAAGACTCAACAATATGCTTCCAACAGGTGAGGAACATAAGTATTATTTTTTAATGTTCTTTAAAAAGTGTTAAAGTGAGGTGATGAGATTGTTTAAAACATTATTTCTTTTTTTATAATTGTGATTTTCTTTTTTTATTTATTGGTCCATTCTGTGGTCCATTGGTCCATGGAATAGTTTTTTGTTAATCAAGGATATTTATTTCATTACTTGGTTTCTAACAAAACTCAATTTAAGTACTATATGCATTTTCAGAATAAGAAAAAAATCAGTGATTTCTTAGTAAAATATGATGGCATCAAACTCTAATAATTATGTCTTCATATATTTCTGGGACTTGTACATGTGAAATAATTCTAAAATCAGCACTTTTGAAATACTTGCAGATATCAACAATATTGTACAAGCAGTCCTTTACTTACAACTGTTCATTTAGTGGCTGTAAAAAGTTACAATGATACTGAAAAAGTAATTTATGACCATTTTTCACACTTAAAACTGTTGCAACATCCCCATAGTCAGATGATCAAAATTCAGCTGCTTGGCAATTGGCTCATATGTATGACTGTTGCACTGTTCTGGGATCATGTGATCACTTTTGCAAACCTCTGACAAACCAAGTCAATAGGGGAACCAGATTCATTTTACAATCATGTTACTAGCTTAACTGCAGTGATTCACTTTACAACTGTGGCAAATGAGGTTGTAAAACTCACTTAACTGTCTCACTTAGCAATAGAAATTTTGGGCTCAATTGTAGTCAAAAGTTGAGAACTATCTGTATTCCAATTTAAAGTTACATTTCTAAATTGGTTTTCAGATTGAGTCGGAACTGGCGGGTGATTTCAGGACAGAGGAATAAAACTAAACATTTTTAAAAAGTATTTTCTCACTCATTTGTTTATAAGCCAGCAAAACGCAATGGCTAACTTGATCTGATTTGTTTGTACTGCCCCAGGAGATGTTGACACAGTTCTACAGAGGAATTATTGAGTCTGCCTATAATTGTCTAGTTTGGTACAGCAACCAAAAAGATTAAATAGGTAGTTAGGACTGCAGAAAAAAAAACCAATTGCAACCAGCCTACCTTCCATTGAGGATCTGTATATTGCATGGATCAAAAGAAGGATTGAGAAAATAGTATATGTAAATATTTTTATAAGTTTGATGTATACCCTATTAAGATAGGCCACACATTCTATGGCCCTTATTTAACCACACTGATCTTCATTACTGAAAATTGGAAGTGCAGGTTTTTAGTTAGTTAGTTAGTTTACTTTATTGTCATTGCACCTCATACAATGAAATCAAACACCATCTTCAGTGCATATCATGACCATGAAAATAAATACAAGCAAACATCCTTCACACTCCCCACATTGAACTGAAAACCCCAACAGTGCACCAACACTGCACTATACAGTAGAATTCAATAGAGTTACTGCCCTGGGACAGAAGCTATTTTTCAGCCTATTTGTCCTTGTTTTTATTATTCTGTACCATCTGCCAGATGGTAATAGTTCAGAAAAAGGGTTCCCAGGATGAGATGGATCTTTGAGAATGTTTTGAACTTTCTGAAGGTAGTGGGAGCTACAAAGCTCTTCCAAAGAGGGGAGAGGGCAACCAATGATCTTCTGGGCAATGACATTAACCCTCTGGAGTGCTTTCCTATCTGCCACTGTGCAATTGGCAAACCATACAGAGGTGCAATATGTTAAAATGCTCTCTATGGTGCAGCGGTAGAAGGTCACCAGCAGTTTTTCATTCAGTTGTTGTTTTCTGAAAAGGCTCAGGTAGTATAATCTCTCCTAGACCCTTTTGACCAGTGCTGCAATGTGAGCGTCCCAGGTCAGATCCTTTTTTACGGTAACACCCAGAAGCTTAAAACTGGCCACTTGCTTCACTTGGTCTTCATTGATAAGCAAGGGTTGGATGTCTGATCTGTTCCTTCTATAGTCCACTATAAGCTCCCTGGTCTTATTGGTTTTGAGGACCAAGATATTGTCTCCACACCATGAAAGCAACCAGTTCACCTCATCTCGGTAGGCAGACTCATCTCCCTAGAGATGAGTCTCACCACTGTTGTATGATCTACAAATTTAGTAATAGTAAAACTAACGTAAGTGGGAATGCAGTCATGCACATAAAGAGTATGGTGTAAGGGACTCAACATGCAACCCTGTGATGTACCAGTGTTAAGAATAAGGGCTGAAGAGCTATAATTACCTAATCTGACCCTCTGTGAGCAGCCAGACAGGAAATCTATAATCCAAAGGCAGATTGAATAAGAAAGTCCAAGGTCCAGAAGTTTAGACACTAGTCTATGTGGAAGAATTGTGTTAAATGCCGAACTAAAATCTACAAAAAGCATCTTCACATAGCCCCCCTGCTGTTCCAGATGAGTCAGAGCAACGTAAAGAGTGATGGCTATAGCATCCTCTATAGATCTATTTCTTCTGTATGCAAACTGGTATTTATCAAATATATGCAGAAGACCAGAAAAGATGTGCCGGCAGACCAATTTCTCAAAGCACTTCATGATGATAGGAGTGAGTGCCACTGGTCTGTAATCATTGAGGTAATTGATGGGGAACTTCTTGGGCAGTGGAACAATGGTGGAAGCCTTCAAACAAGATGGAATAGTGGACTGGGACAAAGACCGATTGAAGATCCTGGTAAAGACTCCAGCCAACTGATCAGCACAGTCTTTAAGCACTCAGCCAGAGATACCATCAGGACCAACAATATTTCTAGTGTCCACAGCCCTCAGAATGCTCCTCACCTTCTGTTCCTCCACAATGAGGTATAGGCTACAATTGGCTGGTGGTTGTATTTTACCTGTATCTGATGTCTCCACTAAGATGTAAATGCAAAAACTATATAAAAATAATTGTGTAACCCCAAATATATGGTTTCCATAGCTTTAAGAAACAAAAGTCCACAAGACATGTTTTATGAATCTCCTCATGTATGGCCTTACCAATCCTCTGACCAATGTGTTCCTCAAATTACTCCAAAATACTATATACAATCCTGTGTCTTCAATAGAATACTCAGTTATATGCTGCATGCTGGCAAAAACTTTTGGATTTGAATGTCACAATGAGTTTCAAAAGGGCTTGTTAAGTCTGGGGTGTTATATGACAGGTGTTTGTGTGTTTGAATTCTGTTCTTCATTTTATCTTTCTTGTAGGGCCAGTTTGCTCTCTCCACTAGTCGGTAAGCCTTCCTGTATACTGGCTTCAGTGCATTTTCATTGTTGTTCTTCATATATTTTTCCAATGATCTTTTTTCTTCTTCAACTATCTGATGTACTTGCAACATTTCATACCCACCCATTATCCTTAGTAGGTAGAATATACATCTCTAGTATACTCTGTAGTCTTCTCTGTCTACTCTTCATACTGAATACTGAAGAGACCAAACAGGCCTACAAAGAAAAAATCAAATGAAGAAGAGACAGGAAAGAAGACAAAGCATCACATGGCCAATACCTTAAAAAGTAGCAGGAAAAGCAGATAACAGGATCTGTCAAATGGCTAAGAGCAAGAAAGCTGAAGAAAGAAACCTGGGGACTAATTCTGGCCACATAAGAGCAAGCCTCAAGAACAAATGCGTACAAAGTCAGAATTGCAAAGACAGCAAATGACAGCAAATGGTGTCTCTGCAAAGAAGCTGGAGAAACAGCAGACCACCTAGTTAGCTGCCGAGGAAGATTGTCTTGTCTGACTTGAAGCAACAACAGGACAGATATAGATATAGAATAGACTTCTTTATTGGCCAAGTGTGATTGGAACACATAAGGAATTTGTCTTGGTGCATATGCTCTCAGTGTATATAAAATAAAAGATATATTCATCAAGAATCATAAGGTACAACACTTAATAATAGTCATAGGGTACAATAAGCAATCAAATCATACTAGGAAACAATCAATATAAATCGTAAGGATACAAGCAACAAAGTTACAGTCATACAGTCACAAGTGGGAGGGGATGCGTGATAAGGAGTGATGAGAAGAAGTAAATAGTTTGACAGTGTTGAGGGAACTATTTGTTTAGCAGAGTGATGGCTTTCGGGAAAAACTGTCCTGGTGTCTAGTTGTTCTGGTATGCAGTGTTCTATAGTGTCCTTTTGAGGGTAGGAACTGAAACAATTTATGTCCAGGATGTGAGGAGTCTGTAAATATTTTTACAGCCCTCTTTTTGGCTCATGCAGAATACAGGTCCTCAATGGAAGGGAGGTTGGTAATAATTGATTTTCTCTGCAGTCCTAATTACTCTCTGAAGTCTGTACCTGTCTTGTTGGGTTGTAGAACCAAACCAGACAGTTATAGAGGTGCAGATAACAGACTCAATAATTCCTCTGTAGAACTGTATCAGCAACTCCTTGTTTGTGCAGTTTGAACTTTCTGAGTTGGCGCAGAAAGAACATTCTTTGTTGTGCCTTTTTTTGATGTTAGGTGTCCATTTTAGGTCTTGTGATATGATAGAATCTAGAAATTTGAAGGTCTCTACTGTTGATACTGTGTTGCTTAGTATTGTAAGAGGTGGTAATATGTGAGGGTTTCTCCGAAAGCCTACCACCATTTCTAGTTTTTAATGTGTTCAATTCCAAATTGTTCCAGTTACACTATGAGGCAAGTTGTACAACCTCCCAGTCTGTATGCAGATTCATCATTGTCTCGAATGAGACCCATCACTGTTGTATCTTCTGCAAATTTCAGTATTTTAACAGATGGATCATTTGAGATGAACCTGAATTTGTGTCTGTACGAAGAAATGTAACCTGGGATTACGCTACTTTCAAAAAAGATGTTTTATTTGTATTTTTTTTCTCTTTGTGAAAACTCAAATAAAATTTACAAAAAAAAAAGTGTGGAGTCTTAGTGGACAACCAGCGAAATATGAGCCAGCAGTGTGCCAAAAAAGCTAATGCAATCCTAAGTTGTATTAAGAGAGGGATACAATCAAGATCAAGGGAGATACTAATACCACTATATAAAGCCTTAGTAAGACCACACCTAGAGTACCGCATCCAGTTTTGGTCACCACATTATAAAAAGATGCTGAGACTCTAGAAAAGGTACAGAGAAGAGCCACCAGGGTGATTAGGGGACTGGAGACTAAAACATACAACGAATGGTTGCAGGAACTGGGCATGGCTAGTCTAGTAAAGAGAAGGACCGGGGAAGACATGATAGCAGTCTTCCAATATTTGAGAGGCTGCCACAGAGAGGAAGGGGTCAAGCTATTTTCTAAAGTGCCTGTAGGCCAGACAAGGAATAATGGATGGAAACTGAACAAGGAGAGAGTTAACCTGGAAATAAGGAGAAACTTTCTGACAGTGAGAACAATCAACCAATGGAATAGCTTGCCCTCAGAAGTTGTTGGAGTACCCCAATTTGAGATTTTCAAGAAGAGATTGGACTGTCATTTGTCAGAAATAGAGTAGGGTCTCTCACTTGGGTGCGGGGGGGGTTGGACTAGGTGACCTACAAGGTCCCTTCCAACTCTGATTATCTGTAAACTGTATTAGCTAGTTGCAAATATATATTTAAAAGATGGGAAACTATTATGTTTCAACTACATATTAGCAAATAAAGAAAGGAGACTGAATAACCTCACAGAATGGTTTGTTCTAATGAACTATTACCTGAAATATTTAATTCGCCTTTATCATTTTTGTATTTGTAATATTTGCAATGATTTTTTACACTGACTTACTTGGATCATATTAAATCTCAAAAATTAATTATGCATACACATAACAATTTTATCCCTTTGTTAGCAAACATATATTTTATAAACAATTTGATTTTAAGAAACTGAAAATGCAACAAGAATGTTTTTATTTATCAACAGCTATCCAAGTACTGATTGTTCTACTTGTTTTCTCTCTGAGGTGTGAAAAATACCCTGATTGGTAATGACATGGCTTTTGAGACCTTGCAGGCCCCTTGGAGTCCAGAAAATAAGATCCATCGAATGAAAAAGGTTAGGGAAGTTTTGGACACTGAGAACAAAGCAGCATTCCATCTCCATGATGATATGCCCAGATACATTTATTTTGCATCCAACTGTACCAATAAGTGGGGCCATGAGCATGGCTATCGGATCCAGACTGTCAGCTTTTCTGGAGACCATTTGCCAGAATCAGATCCAATGGAGCCAGGCCTAAGTTGGGGTCGGTAAGTGATTTCTAAGTATAAAAGTAAAATAGATTCACCCATGTCTTTCTGTTTCAGCATCTTGAATAAGATAGACAGGAATTGCCAATTTTAATTTTAAAGAAATCTATATAACCATCTCTCTGCTTTCTTTAGCCAATTGTAGATGATGTGATACCGGATGTCGTTGTCCAAGGACATTCTCACATCTGGTCGGAGGAAGGCAGAGTGATGATACCCAACTGCCAGCCTATACTGTTATTGGACCATGCGATTGAAAGCTTTTCTACTTTCTCAAAACAACCAATCACATGGTCTAATCACAGTACAGGCTGGCAGCGGGATAGCATCATTGCAGGTAGCATCACTTTCTTTGACCAGTGTGAGAATATCCTTGGTTACCAAGAAAAAAACATGTTGTTTTGGCTACAGGTTCCCCTTTATCTCAATTCCCTTTCCCTATCCCTCATCTCAGGCTTCAGGTCTGACACTAAATAGCAATAGCACTTAGATTTATGTACCACTTTATAGTGCTTTACAGCACTGTAAGCAGCTTACAGAGTCAGCATCTTGCCTCCAACAATCTGGCTCCTCATTTTACCCACCTCGGAAGGATGGAAGGCTGAGTCAACTTTGAGCCTGGTGAGATTCAATCTGTCAAATTGTAGGCAGCCAGCTGTCAGCAGAAGTAGCCTACAGTACTGCACTCTAACCACTGCACCACTGAGTCTCTTAGTGTTTAAAAAGTGATAATGCTTAAATATTTGCTAAAAAAGACATTTCCAGTCCCAAGATATAACAATAGAGCATATAAAGAAACAAAGTGCTAGCCAAACTCTGCAGAATTTCTTCAAGCTCACATTTCTCACTACCAATCATGACAGGTTGACTTTTAGTAAATATAAACAATATAAATTAAAGGTAGAATTATGAAATAAATTTTTAAATTCATCCTATTATTCCAGCTATAGCCATATCTGGAGTAGAAAAAATTAGCTATTGGGAGCTGTGGGTGTCTTTCAAATTGCTCTGGTTGAATACTTAAAGAATCCAATCCTTTTTATTATATATTTTTACACTTGCACTTTTGGGTCTAATTTGAGGTACTGATTATAAAATGTTCTTTTATAATAAATTATAACAAAAATTGCCCTATATTTTATAGCAGGCAGTCATGGAATAGAAACCTGCTGTTATATTACCCTTCAACACTTATTCCTGAAACCATAAACTTCCAAGATTTTTAAGAAGAAACATAATAATGAATAAACCTCAATCTCTGAACTCTTCTTGTTTTGCCTTATAAGTTATAAGCTAGTTGTTACGAAGAGGAAAGAAAATGAACCTTTCAGCACCACTATCTACAATCAGGTTGACCCATGGAATCCTCCTGTGGCCTTTGCTGACTTCATAAACAATGAAAGCATTGTCAATGAGGTAAGTGAAGGTGAATCCCACCCAGCACTGAAGCACCTTGCAGGTAATTATCCCACAATCTGGTGTTTTCCAAATGCATTTGAGTTAAAGTCAAACTTACTTGGAAGACATCAGAATAGAAAGGTAGGTTGTTGGACTATCACCTGCAGCTTAGACCGGAAGTAGCCTAATGCTGCTAAAGGTTTTAGAAGCACATTCCCTTAAGGAAAAAAAATGGACTTAGTGACAACTTAAATGCTCAGATGACAAATTAAAATTTCCTGTATTAGACCTTAGTTTTCCTGTTTGCATTCTTGTTAGCTGAGGTAATGTGACCTCGGAAAATACACTGAGCCAAACTTGTATGCATGGGATTTATGCCTTAATGATTGCATTTGTTTTTAATGGCTTTTTAAATACCATGACTGATAAAAATTTTCAGAATGGATAAAAGATCTTTGCTAACAATGTTGTACTCCCAATTTTCCACTTCTACATAACCCAGATTCTGAGTGGGCAAACATAAAATTATGCTGTCAGATTATCCCAGATTTTACTACATCTGCTGCTTTAATTAATAAGTTTGGTTTGTCTGAATCTGTTCCTCTGTTGTTTTCTATTTAGTAGATGTTGTATCTAAGGTAGATACCACAATGATATTTCCCCTTTTCCTTTTATAGGATCTGGTTGCCTGGATCAATGCTGGTTTTCTACATATTCCACATTCTGAGGATATACCCAATACTGCAACCCTTGGGAATGAAGTTGGTTTTTTCTTGAGACCATACAATTATTTTGATGATGACCCTTCCATGTATTCTCCAGACAGTGTTTATTTCAGCCACCTGCAGGACCCCACATCCTGTGAGCTCAACCAACTTGCATGTCTGGCAAAAAAGGCTTCGTGTTTGCCCATTTTTCCTCCTTTCACTTATGAGGGTTTTCAAAACATGACAATTTTCTAATGCCTTCGTTTTGACCTGTGACCTAGACATTGGAAACAAACAATGAATGTATGTTAAATACTGTAAACACTGAGGAGTTACTTTCCTCACTAGTCTTTTACAGTGTTCCTTTTCTCTCCTCTCTTCTTCTTCGGCAGCATTAATAAATATTTTTGCTGGATTATTAGACCACTATGTTCAGGAAAGTGTGATAGCATGGAATTCTCTGCAAATATTTTATTATCTGTGGGAATACCTGTGTGTTAAACTTGTATTTTGCAACTGGTTGTTTGGTTTTGATAAAAGAGTGGATTTTTCTAACAAATAGAAGACTTTGGAATTAGAAGGATGCAACCTGAGCTTTGGATTGCATGGTAACATAAAAATAGAGCAAATAGAGATTTTGAAAAGGGTTAGGTGTACATTCCAACAACGTGGAATAAATAGAAGTCCAGGTTGTACTCCAAACAATTTTTTTCAGCACAAGAAGCATTTTATGTATGAGAAATGATAATTAAATACAAAAGACTAACTGGTTGTGAAATATTAGAATTTTGTCAATAGGAATGTAAGATAAAAATAAGAGATCTGGTGACAGAAATATATGCTTGGTAATGATTCTCTTTTTAAATTTAAAAATTTATAGTGGATAAAATAACTCATGTTTTTGAACATTGTAAGCTATTTAAAAGAGGAGTAAACTACAGATGGTTGATGCCAGAAGGCCTTTTGTTCACTTGGCAGGAACAAAAACACAGAATTGACACAGTTGGAAAAGCTGAGCTATTCTACTTAGAATACTTTAGAGGAAAGGAGGAAGAAGAAAGAAAGGAAAAGTCACTAATTGAATTCTAAGAGGAGTGTACAGCAGTAATTGAAAAAGAAAAAGAAGAAGGTGCAGTAGGTGGTGAACCCAGAAAACAATGAGAATTGAGATCTACTAGAGCAATAAAACCCTCTTATAAAGCTTGACATGGATGAAAGAAAAATGATTACAATTAACATAAATGGACTTAATTTGGCTATTAAAAGAAGGAAAGTATTTCACAAATTAGAAAAATTAAAATTTGATATAATCTGCTTACAAGAGGTACATATTAAAAAGCAACATGAATATATACTAAAACAAGGAAAATTAGGGAAATTATTTACATCGCTGGCACAATAGAAAAAAAGACGTGTGGCAAGCACAGATTGGACGTTTTTTCTTTCCCTAATTTGACTTCACCCCTAGAAGAGAAATTGTAAAAAGAAGAAGCTTGTACTCTGCCTGGACTGTTTGATGACTGTGGGACTTTGGGACTTTTGGGAACTGTTTTAAGTTTGGAAATAACTGATTGGTTTAAGAAGAGGATACAGAAAGAGAAGAAGAAACAGTTTAAAATGGCTCTATCTCTTGATGAACTAAAAAAACAATATTTAAAAGTAAAGAAAGAAGGCAAAGATGTTATGGGAGAAGCCCTTTGTTTCCTAGATATGGCGCTTGTCATGTGTCAGCAAATTAAACAACAGCTGCAAGAAACCGAGGAAGAAGAAGCCATTTTTAATGAACTAAACGGTGTGACTAAGAAAGAAAGGAGAAAGAGAGGAGTGAAAAGGAAGGACTTAAGAAATAAAAAAATGTTTATGAAAGAGAAAAAGAAGACGCAAAAACAACAGAATGTTAGAAAGCAAAAGGAAAGAGGAATGCAACAGAAAGGGGAAATCAAGAAGGCAGAGGTTTGGAGAGGAGGGGGTAAAAAGTTTAGACGGGCTAAGAAGGAAAGGGAAAAGGGGGAAAAAAGTTACAAAGATATAAGACAAGATGGAGATAAGGAAACTTTTTTCAGGGATAATGGGTAATATATGGGTTTTTTTTTTTAAAAAAGGGGGAGGATTCTGCAAAGTACACATGAGTATTGTAATAGTGGTATTTGTATTATAAGTAGATAATCAGAACTTTTTAAAATCTAATAAAAGACTAAAATATCAAGGTATAACTTTAAAAGGTTTAATAATGAATGATAATAAGTTTTAATAAAATACTAAAGGGAATGTTTAAAATATTAGTTTGAATATAGAGTTTAATGGATTAATGTGTTGATTGTTATGGATTTATTATTGTAGTATTGGTTTTTGAAATAGTAGAATGTACTAAGCAGAATCTGATTGGGATTTAGGTATTATTTTAAATTTTAACTTAGGGGAATGATAGAAAGGCATCATACTCCGATTAGTGATTCCAGGGGAAACTATTCTTTCTTAAATTGGAAATGAGACAGATGTAAATGGAGAAATGGACAAAAGATATAAAAATATTTTTTTTTAAAAGCAAGATTAAATATATAAAACAGAATTAAGATGAGGCAAAAGTGGAGAGGAGTTATATAATAGATATAGAATGGTAAATAAGATGGGTAATGGTATATAAGAAGAGCATGAATACAATTGAGTAAATACAAAAAGAGGTAATCTGGGGCCAAGTTACTTTCTAGAAGAAAGTTTTATGTTTTTATGTCTATGTTTTATGTGTGTGTGTTTAATTAAGAATTAAATAATAAAATCCCGGAGAAAGACTAGATGAGAATAATTATAAACAAGCCAGAGGAAAATATAAAGTTGATGGCTGGATAGCAGATAAATCAGAAAGGAAATATGATTGAATAATGATTAAAGAGAAACAATGTGGAATTTGGTAAAGGGAATTTACGTGTTTATATGGAAATGGGATAAATTATAAGTACGTGATATAAAGCAATATGTTACCTGCCTTGTAAGGATCTACAATGGAAAGAGATTTTATGTTTTTAATGTTTAATGATGTTTTGTTTTGTTTGTTTGTTTGTAAAATCAATAAAACTTGTTTAAAAAAAAAGAAAAAAAAAGAAAAAAAGACGTGTGGCATTATATATTAAAGAAACAATTTTAGGAGAATTAATTTATACAGATGATGATGGAAGGATTTTGATGGTGGAGATAACAGATAACAGCATTAAAACACTTTTAATTGCAATTTATGCCCCAATGATAAACAAGAAAGATTCTATAGGAAATTATATACAAAAATAATTGATTTGGACTATGTTAATATCTGTATGTTGGGTGATTTTAATGGAATAATTAATGACCAGTTGGACTATAAAACACAGAAAACAACAAAGAAAGTTAGAAAGATACTACCAAAATCCTTCCTTCGAATAAGAATTTAATTTAAAAGATGTATGCAGAGAGAGAATTGCAGAAAGTAAGCAATATACTTTCTATTCAAATAGATACACATCCTGGTCTAGAATAGATATGATATGGATGTCAGCAGAATTATTGACTAATGCATGACAGATTGAAATAGAAACAAGCACATGGGCAGATCATAATCCAGTATCATTTATTTGGAAAGGATACAAGAGAAGATCTTGATGGACTCTAAATAATATGATTCTGAAAGAAAAAGACTTTAAACAGAAAATAGACAAAGAACTTGTTTTCTTCTTCAAAGAAAAGAGGATACATCTTTACACAATCTCTGGGACATAATGAAGGCCTACACAAGAGGCTTGATAATAGATTATACTAGGAGAAGAGACATAAAATAGAAAAAGACATTTAAGACATTAGAGGATGACTATAAAAGACTGGAAAAAAACTTACAGAAGTCCCCACAAAAAAAAGACATTAAAAATAAAATGGATATAATTAAACATAAAATGGGACTAATGGAAAAAGAGGAATTAGAACCAAAAATTAAAAGTGCGAAACAGAATTACTTTGAAGATGCAAATAAACCAGGCAGATGGCTAGCTTATAAACTGAGAAAGGAAAGAGAAGCAAGAAGAATTAGCCAATTGATAAATAAAGAAGGACAGGTTTGTTATGGAAATGAGGAGAAGAAAAAAATTATACAAGGTTACTATGGAAAACTATACTTTCAAGAGAATATTCAAGAAGAAAAAATCAAGCAATATCTTCAGAAAGCAAACTTACCTCAGATACCCAAAAATATTGAAACAATGTTAGAAGGAAGTATAACAATGATGGAACTAGCAGAAGCCTTAAAAAAACAGAATTCTGGGAAAGGACCAGGTCCAGATGGGTTGCCAGCAGAATTCTATAAGACTTTTCAGGAAATATTGAATTTTCATCTTCTAGAAGTTTTGAATGAAGTTATGTTAAAGAAAGAATACCAAAAACATGGTCAGAATCATATATTACACTTATACCGAAGGAAGGTACAGACCTGCAGCAAGTTAAAAATTATAGACCTATATCTTTATTGAATTCAGACTATAAAATCTTTGCTTCAATTTTGGCAGAAAAACTAAAAAGATACTTAAATAATTTTATCCATACTGATCAAAATGGATTTCTGCCAAAGAAACAAATCAAAGACAATGTGAGAATCATTTTGGATACTCTGGCATGTTATGAAGCACACCCTGAGAAGCAAATGGCCTTGATGTTTCTAGATGCTCAAAAAGCCTTTGACAATGTGAATTGGCGATTTATTTTACTGCAACTGATACAAATGGGCTTTGGTAAGAAATTTATCCAAGCCATTGAAACAATATATCATGAACAAACTGCAAAGGTGATGGTGAATGGAGAATTAACAGAATCCATAGATATAAGAAAAGGGACAAGGCAAGGCTGTCCATTGTTGCCTCTGCTGTTTGTGTTAACATTGGAAGTGTTGAACAGGAATATCAGAGAAGAAAAAGAAATAAAAGGAATGAAAATTAAAAAGGAGGAGTATAAATTGCAAGCTTTTGCAGATGACCTGGTATTTATATTAGAAGACCCAATGGAAACAGCACCCAAATTAATAGAAAAAATAGAAGAATATGGGAAAGTAGCAGGTTTGAGAATAAATAAAGACAAAACAAAGATATTAACAAAGAATATGTTAACAAGACGAAAGAAAGAGTTGGAAGAAACTTTAAAAATACAGGTCACGAACAAGGTTAAATACTTAGGGATTTATATTACACCAAGATGCAGTACCCTGAAGGAAGATAACTACATTAAACTCAAATAGCAGATTGCGA